GTCTTTTCCAGGGAGTCTTCTCTTCTCATGAGATGGCCAAAGTACTGGAGCCACGGCTTCAGGATCTGTCCTTCCAGGGAGCACTCAGGGTTGATTCCCTTCAGAATTGATAGGTTTGTTCTCCTTGCAGTCCAGGGGACTCTCAAGAGTCTCCTCCAGCACCACAATTCAAAAGCATCAATTATTTGGTGGTCAGCCTTCTTTATGGTCCAGCTCTCGCCTCCATACATCCCTACTGGAAAAACCATAGCTTTGACTATTCGGACTTTTGTTGGCAAGGTGATGTCTCTGCTTTTTAAGAGGCTGTCAAGGTTTGTCATCGCTTTCCTCCCAAGAAACAGGCATCTTTAATTTCGTGGCTGCTGTCACCCTCTGCAGTGATCATGGAGCCCAAGAAAGTAAAATCTGTCACTGCCTCCATATCTTTCCCTTCTATTTGCCAGGAGGCGATGGGACCAGTGGCCATGATCTTAGGGTTTTTTTTGATGTTGAAGGCATTTACAGATACCTATTCCAGGAAGGCTATTATAGATACCACTGGGAAGTTTCCTATATAAGTAAGCAATGTAAGTCTCACTTTAGTTTTTAGAAGCTGAGCAATCCTTTGCTGGACCCCTCCAGCATAAAGGTGCTCAAGTGGCACATTTGCATCCTTAGCATAAAGGGACAAGGGCCCACATTCTCCCTACTTAAAATCCCCTCTTTGTGAAGTGTTTGGTGTTCTTCCTTTTTGCAATGGCAAGCAAGCGTGAAGGCAACATGCGGCTGGATTAACAGAAATACACTGTCAAGGATCAAGGACGGCCCTTATCCATAGGATCATTATCCGCCGGTTCCCTTATCCGCAGTCTGAAAATATCAAAAATAATAAAAGAAAAATCCCCCAAATATATATTATTAGTGACAGAGTTACCGGAACTGGCCACTAAAGGGAGCCAGAAACCATGTTATGCATATCATTTACTATTATAATAGTGTTTGCTACAATCCACGTTTTTCAGCATCTGCGGGGTGCTTGGAACTGATTTCCTGTGGATGCGAGGGTCATACTACAGTATATTATACTCTCTTCTGCTTTGATCATTCCTCTCCTAGAACCCTGTGTCCAGGTCTGGGCATCCCAGTTTAAGAAAGATTAACAACAAGCTGGACCATGTCCAGAAGAAGACAACCAGGACAGTAAAAAGTTTGGAAATCCAGCAAGCTTGCTTTCTGTAAGTTCTAGAGGGTAGAACCAAATTACAAGAAGGGTGATTTTGCCTAAACGTTAGGGAGAACTTCTTGAAAAGAACATCTGCTTGACAGAGCAACGGTTGGTCTTGGAGGGCGGTGGGCCTCAGCTTCGCTTAGAGGCTCATCCACTGAGGTTGTATCGAGCAGAGATGCGATACCTGTGGATTTCCTGCTTCGGCAAGGGGCTGGACTCAAGGACCCTTGGCTTCCCTTCCTGCTCTCCAAGGCTACAATTCTCTGATTTCGCCCAGCCCTGTTCTACAGACTGAGAACGACCGACTTTTTTAGGGTTTCGGCAGGTTGGGTTTCCTGGCCATCCCCAGAGATGTTGGGAACTTAACCTGACTTCTCGGGCGTGCCAACCGCATGCTCTGCCACAGAGCTACGGCCCCACCCGCCGTCAAATCATCCACCGTTCACCTGCGGGTCAACTGTCACAAAGGCAGTTTCCCGCCAGGCTCTTACATCTGATTAATTCCCAACTCCATTTGAAAACTCATTTGGCAATCATGGCCTGGAGGTTCAAGAGGTCGCCATTTGTGGTGACTCACGAAAGAGGAGCTGCTGCAGCATCAGGGTATTGAGTGCGAACCACAGTGACCACGTGATGATCTCATCACTGGTAACTGAGAGCCTTCTGAGTCACAGGGAATGGCGTAAGGCCATTAGAATTACAATGGACGCTGGCACAGGAGGGGCAAGCGGTACCCAGGTCAATACTCCTAGAGAAGCAATGCGTTTGGAGAGGGCAGAAGCAGACAGAGTAATCTGGCTGAAATAAGAGACTGATCTGGGAGAAGCGTGGACCCCCCGAGTCACCCTCGACGGCTCTGTTATTTTACTCCTCATTAGAATCCTAGAAAAGTAGAAGTTGGAAGGGGCCTCACAAGGCCATCCAGTCCAACCCCCTGCTCAAGGCAGGAAGACCATCCAAGCCTATCTGCTTTGCCGGATCGCCATAAACCACGGGGGTGGGCCGAGGGTTACCTCTGCACTCGATACACTCGAGTCCACGGGGGCACGAGGGCCAGAATTCTCGCCACCAAATCCACCAGCGTGCTCGGAGGGTAACTCTTGTACCGGCCGGTTTTCCAGAGCTCATACAGGCCGGTGCCCCGGATGACGAGGGTCGGGTACAGCTTCATGCCGTCCGGGCGGAAGGCGGGGTTCTCGAAAAACTCCTGCAAGAATCGGAAGCAGAACACGGAGGTTAAGAACCGGGGAGCCCAGCTCGGTGAGGTCTTGCTGTTCAGCAAAGCTGCAGACAGAGGAAAACCACGGTGGCTGCAGGTGGGAAACAGAAGCAG